CATCGACAGGTGAGCCCGGGGCACCTGCGGGCCTGGCCCCGGCAGCCGTGTGGACCTTCCTCCGCGCAGGCCTGTCTGTTCTTGTCTGACATTGTGTAGTCTGCCTGCGCGGGTCTCAGTGCGCTTCTGCTGGTGGGAAGGGACGCTCAGTGTGACATTTACCATTGTAACCGGCCGGGCGCATCCGCAGGGAGCAGCGTGCACCACTGTGCTGCCTCCGCCGTCCAGCGCTGTCTCCCCAGCTGAGCCTTGGTCCATTACACACACAGCTCTTTGCCCCTCCTGGGATCCCCCGCAGCCCACGCTGCTTTCCTGGGAATGTGATGGTGAATCACACAGAAACTGGAGTCCTGCAGTTTTGACCTCTGTGTTGAGCCTTTTTCACTGCGCACTGCGTCCTCATGGTTCACTTACATTATAGCCTATGTCAGAGCTTCATTCTGCAAACTGTTGTTTGAGTTACAATACATATAACAGGGCAAGGGATGTAGCTCAGTGGTGCCGCCGCCTGCCTGGCAAGCACAAGGGCCCAAGTTGATCCCTGGTACCAAAACAATAAATAAAACACATATAACGTAATAGGGGAGGGGGCTTGAGTGGGGAATGGGGTGAAATAAAATTGATTTACAAAATACATGTACCAAGAGCCGGGCGTGGGGGTGCACGCCTGTAATCCCAGGACTCAAGAGGCTGAGGCAGGAGGATCGCTTGGAGTTTGAGGCCAGCCTAGGCTACATAGTGCGTTGAAGGCCAGCCTATACTACATGGCAAGACCCTGTCTCAAAAAAACAAAAACATATATGTAACATAAAATTATCTTAAGCATTTTGTGTGTGTATTTTTTTGTTTTTGTTTTTTGGGAGGTTTTGTTGTTGTTGTTATTGTTGTTTTGGTACCGGGATCAAATTCAGGTCCTTGTGCTTGTGGGGCAGGTGGCGACACCACTGAGCTAAACTCCCGGCCCACATCTTAACCATTTTGAAGTGTACAGTTCAGTGCTTTTAAGTCACAATCTTCCCCTTTCAGACTGAATAATACTCCATTCTATGGAGAGACCCCATTTTGTTTATCCTCCTCTGTGGTGACTGGCACATGGTTCTTTCTGTCTTTGGTTCTCCTGAATAATCTTGCTGTGAACACGGGTGTGCAGATGTCCCCTTGGGACCCTGCTTTGGCTCTTTCGTAAACGCGCCGGAAACGAGCTGCTGGCCGGATAGCTCCGTGCGTAACTTCTGGAGCACTGCTGGGTTCTCGTGGTGGCTGTGCCCATCAAGTCCCCACATAGTCACGGATTCCGGCCCCTCCTGTGTGTCACTGGAGAGGACGGGCCCTGGAGAAGCTGTGACGAGGGGCATCCAGTGGTTCATTCGTGCTGTCATTCACATGCTTCCTGCGGGAAATTCTTCTCTGTCCCATACAGAAAACCCGCTCCAAGTTATGTCTCCTTTGGGGGCTCTTGAACTGTGAAATGCGGGATAGGCCTGGTCTGTTCGGGATTCTCCCTCAGACTTAATCTGCCCTTGGGTGGTTTGAGGAGCAAGGTTCCGGCGGTGGAGGCTGGAGAAGACTTGCAGCCGGACCCAGGGAGAGTGTGGCTCCCGCTGAGGCAGCCGTCACAGGCCTCACCTGGTCCGCCTGCCAGGTCTCAGCCTCCTTTTCAGGCTCCTAAGTAAATGCTTGCTTAACTCTCCTTTACTTCCTATCCCAGTTTCCCCTTATCACACAGAGGGGAGTCGTTCTGGACTAGAAACTGAGTTTGTAGGTTCTGTGTGGCCTCTGGGGCTTCTCCTCACGCTGAGTGTGAATCAGTGGTAAATGGGCCCCAGCCCTCGGTTGCTTTCTATATGCACAGTCTTGTACTGGCATGGAGTTTGGAGCCCCTGAGCACACCTGTAGGGCTCAGGTGGATGGATAGGAGTTCAGTGGTAACCCGAGTTCTCTGCCATTGGCTGTGTCCTCCTGTGTCTCTGGTGAGGGCCGTATCTGTAGCACCTGGACAGGCTGGAGGGGTGTGGGCTGCCTTGTGGGCAGAGCTGGTACTGAGGGCAGTCTATCTCCATGAGCACCAGGTGCCAGCATGGAGGGTGGCCGCTATGCCTTCAAAGCCAGGTGTGAGGACAGCAGGGCACCGTTGGGCCACGGACAAGCGGCCTCCTGCTTCAGCTAGGGCCATGCCTGCCCTAGTGAGCACCTCTAGGTATCTTCTCAGTGTCTGCTTGGGAAATGTGCCTGGTTTGGGTAACCCTTCTATCATTCTATCAGAAAGCTATTAACCACATACCATTCCAGTATTTAAATACGGGGTGACCAAGACTTGCGTACATTTTTAGTTCATTTTAATAAGATGATTTAATGGGAAATATAAAAACAATAAGCTTATGAAATGTATTCGCTACCAGAATGCGCTGGCCAGAGTGACACCTGCCGGGCGATGCTCTGGTAAGCTGTCCAACGGTTAATGGGCACTGGGAAGCCTTGTTTTGCTTTCAGTTTGAAGGCGTGTGAGATGCTGTGCTGGGCATGGCTGGCAGGCTCTGTGGGCGCTGGGCTCCTGTTCCCGCCCATGCCCAGCCTTGCCCTTGGCACATTGGCGGTGTGAGGTCCGCTGGACCATGGCTGTTTCTTCCCACGTGGAGCCGTTAATTAGTGCAGGCCAAAAGCTCGTGCTCTGCTCGGGTCCTCTGGGCCCAGCGAGCACATGCGGGTCTGTTGGAGCCCCTCGCAGCCCAGCGCCCAGGGGTGCAAGCAGGAGCCCCCGACTCACGCAGTTCCTTCTGCTCAGGCTGCGGGACGAGGCAGCAGCTCTGAAAGCTGGCTGGGATGCCCAGGTGGCCCAGATGTCCAGGGAGGCGGTCTCCAGGGACCTGCAGGCCCAGGTGCTGCGGGACGAAGAGGTGAAGCTCAAGGCGCGGCTGGCCAGAGCCCAGCAGGACGTGGACAGGTAACTCGTGTCCCCGAGGCCAACGGTTCTGCCGGCGCCTCCTGGGGTGGGATTCCCTCGGGGTCAGAGGATTCAGACCAAACAAGTCTTCCTTGTGCTTCTTTGGTTCTGTCAAAGTAACAAGCCAGGAGCAGAGATGAGCGCAGTGGTCAGGAGGGTGGGTAAGCTGAAGGGCCAGTGAGGGCCGGCGGTGAGGGGCCGTCCCTCTGCGGGAAGCTGGGAGCCACGCGGGATTGCCAGCGTCTGCCTGCAGACGTCCTGACTGTCTTATCAGTTTCAGGAAATTGTGCTTACGTAAAGATAATCTAATTTCAGTAATGTATTAAAGTCAGTGCTACTGAGGAACAATATGAATATAATAAAACACCCCATTTTAACTGTGTAGTAATGACCTTTTTTTTTTAGTGGTGCTTCGGGATTGAACCCGGGGCTTCACAAATGCTAGGCAAGTGCTGTACCACTGAGCTACAGCCCCAGCCCTCTTGCTTTTTTTTTGGTTTTTTGAGACAAGGTCTCACTATGTAGTGGAGACTGACCCGGAACTCACTATGTAGCCCAGGCTAGTCTCGAACTCACAGCAATCCTCCTGCCTCAGCTTCCCAAGTGCTGGGATTACAGGCGTGTGCCACCACGCCCAGCTTTTATTCTTTTTTTTTGAGACAAGGTCTTGCTATGTAGTTCAGGCTGGCGTTGAACTCACTATGTAGCCTGGGCTGGCCTTGAACTCACAGCGATCCTCCTGCCTCAGCCTCCTGAGTGCTAAGATTACAAGTGTGTACCATCATGCACAGCTCCTCCCTGACTTTCTTAATTCTTTTCTATTTTCAGTTTCATCGCTGTCTACTCTTTATTATGTTCTTTCTTCTATTACCCTTGGCTTCAATGCGTTGTCTTTCTGATGGCTCCTAATAGAGAAGCTTAGAAGGTTACTTCTTCTCTAAGCAGTTCATGCTGTAACTTTCCTTTCAAGAACATCTGTCTGCACCCCAATCTGACACTATTCGGTTAGGGTGTTCTCTCGTTCCCTGTTGCCTGCCTGGGGCGTGGGCATTCCGTGATGTCCTGGCTTCTCCTTGGGCCTTCTGCTGGTAGCACTCGTGCTGCTCTTCATCGCGATGGGGTCCTCACCAGTGCCCGTGGCTGGCATCTGTGCCTGTACTGTCTCCTCCGGTGTCCAGTGGCGCTGTACAACCTCTCCTCCCTTGGGGCGGCCACAGCCACACGCATGGCCTGTTGCCTCGCTCCTGTCTGCCTGCTCCTCGGGATCTCGGAAGTTTGGTTTTAGGTCTGTGCGCTTCCTCCCCAGCCTTGCTGCAAGTCGGTGCTTCTGGTGAGCTGGGTCTCCTGTGTTTGGTGAGCTCAGCCTCTGCCCTGGCGCCTCCCGCCCGCGCATTGCAGCAGCTTCCCTGCCCCTGCGAGCCGTCGGTGCATTCTGTGTCAGCACAGGCTGTGGGAGACAGAAGGGTGCCCCCATGTGCTGCACCCAAGGTGGGCCCGAGAAACAGTAACGGGGGCCATTTGGACATGTCCCCAGGTACAAACAGCAGCTGTCCCAGGCTGTAGAAAGGGAGCGGAGCCTGGAGCGTGACCAGGTGCAGCTGGGCCTGGACTGGCAGCGCCGCTGTGACGACATCGAGAGGGACCAGATCCAGAAGTCAGAGGCCTTGATCCGGGGGCTGACCGAGGCCAGAGATCAGGTGGGTGCAGTACCACATGGTGCAGACTCCTTTGTCGCTGCTGCATCAGGAGCGGGGCTGGAGCAAGCTCAGTGCTGTGGCAGGATGGGTTTGGCTCTCACAAAGTGTGTCCTGTACATTTGAAAGCACCCGGCCTCATGACCAGTTCACTCATGGCCGCAAAGTCACAGTGGTAAAGATGTCCCTGCCCTGCCCACCAGCCTCTAGCAGGGCCTTGTTGTGTAGCTAGTGTCCCTCTAATGCACAGCGCGTTTGCTGGTGTGGCACAGCCCCTGCCTGCAAGCATGCAGCCCACCCAGCAGGACCAGCCAGGCACCAACTGGACAGGATGACTGTCACTTCCACCGCCACAGGCCGCATGCCGGGCACCCTGCGCTCACAGGCAGAGCGGCCAGCACTGCCCCTCAACCCCAGCTGATGTTTCCAGGTTGCTGCCAAGCTTCAGGAGACAGAGCAGGCGCTGCGGGAGCAGGAGGTGGTGCTGTGGGCTGTGACCCTGGAGCGAGACCAGGCTACACAGGAGCTGCAGGCGCTCGGGCCCCTCCCCGGGCCAGAGCCACAGGTGAGTGCCCCTCACAGCTGCCCCACCAGCTCTGCGAACCTCAGCCCAGCAACCGCAGGGAGGCGGCCAGGCCTTCTCAGTCCTGTTCCTGCACACACACAAGTGGGTCTGCAGCTGTGCAGGACTGAAACAGGTAAACCCAGCATATCTTCAGCATTTGAGAAGTGTAGAGACCCCAGGTCCGAATGTGACCTGGTACAGAGCTGGTACAGGGCAGCAGTGGAGCACGTGCTCAGCACAGTGTGACCCTAGGCTCAGCACTGAGGAAGCTCCCAGACCTGACTGGTGCCAGCGGTGAATGCAGGTCGTCCTGTGGTCCTTCCTCCAAGCTGTGTGGCGGTCGTTCCTGCCATATCTGTCCCTGCAGCTCCTCCCCGTGTTTAGCCCAGACGACAGTGGTCCACAGCTGTGCACTCTGCCTGTGCCATCATCCCTCTAAGACTGCGATGCGTCTCCGTTTGGTCCCCGAGACCCAGAGACCTTGAGGAGCTTCCCTGAGCCACCACAACCGCTAGGCCACAGGAAGCTGTTGGGAGAGAGAGGTAGCCACTGTTTCAGGCTCTCAAGTGGCTATGGTGTCTCTTTCCCCTGCTGATTCTTTTGAGATGCGCTCAGATGCAGGGAGGCGCTCGGCAGGTGACCCGAAGGCCACACGCCCCACCTCTGGCAGGGGCCGCTGTGTCCATTCATTTCTCTGCCTCGGCTCGCCTTGTCATGGAGGAAGAAGCTGCCAACCCTAGGCTGAGCTTGTGTTACCTGTGGCATCCCACCATCCTGAGGCACACACAGAATCCGGGAGTGGTTCGTTCCCGGAGTGTCGAGCCACGCACGTGAGGTCAGTGCGTGGTAGGCCCTGTCCTGCCATCTGGGGATCATTCAGACTGGAGCCTCCTGGCCTGAGGCCACCGACTCTGGAAGTGCAGGCTGGTCCATCCAAGGGAGGAGCAGGAAGCCTGGGGAGCAGGGCGCCACTGCAGCAGCCTGGGCCCAGGTGGGGACGCCCGTGTCCCCCAGGTCATCGCTGCCGGTGGACTCAGTGACTCGTTCCCCTTTCAGTTCTGAAGTACTGTTTCTTAACCCACTGGATTCATTGGTGTGGAGAATCCGGTGTGCATTCCCGTGTCCACGGCAAAATCTCTGCAACCGTGGAGCTTTTCATAATCAAGCCAGGCTAAGAGGCTAGACCCTTGTCCCAGAGACGCACAGCTTCACACGCAGTGCCTGAGTGATCTGAGCCCGCAAGGATGGTGGTGTTTCTCTCCACAAGGACCTGCACAGGCTGGACAGCCAGCTGCAGGCCAGCACTGACCTGGCTCCCTGCAGGTTGAGTGATTCCCCCAGAAAGGCAGGTTCGTCCTGAGCTCAGCAGCTCAGCATGGAACCTCACTGGCATCGGGGTGGGTTCTGTGTATAATTGGTTCAGATGTAGGCACAGGTGGGTCCTGGAGGTGCATAATCCCAGCATTTGGGAGGCCAAGGCAGGAGGATTGCAAGTTCAAGCCCAGCCTAGGCTGTGTAGCTAATACAAGGCCAATTTGGACTGCACAGCAAGAGCCTCAAAAAAAGGAAAAGAGAAAAAGGATAAGGTCACTCTGAAGTAGGGCCGGCCCTAACCCAGCACCTGCTGTCCTGAGAGGAGAGGAGAGAGACAGCTCTGGGGGCAGAGGAGGGTGCGGGGGTGCTGCTGCCAGCAGAGGCCACCAAAAGTCTGGAGCAGCTCCTGGGACAGCCTCTGGGTGGAGACTAGCTCCCCAGCCTTCCCCAGCCTGATTTCGGAGAGGGTAAATTCCTGCTGTCTGAGCCGCCCAGTGTGGTAATTGTTCTGGAGGCGACAGGAACTTCTCCGGGCCCCATGTGCTGGAGGCTGGCCTGGGCCTGGTCTCCTCACAGGACCTGGTTTGGGATCAAGGCCCAGTGGCTTTCTGCACGACCCTGTCTCTCGAAGGTGTTTGGGGCCGTTTGTTTTCTCCAAAGTCAGACATCTGCCCCTTTATGGAGGGTTGAGGGCACCAGGGCACAGAAGTCCGTGGGGACCTTTCTGGCGACACCCGCCAGCCTTCCCCCACTTCCATAGCTCCTGTCAGCACTCAGGGAAGGCAGGTCCAGGCGTGAGCCAGAGTTGGCTGTGGAATGGGCTTGGCAGGGCACTCTGATGCCACGGTGCCAGTGTCCACGCAGCCCAGTCGTGGTGGGTACACAGGTCACCCACGTGAGCTCGGTGGGGAAGGCAGCCCCGTGCTGCAGTGGGAAGTGGCATCTGGTGGGCCAAGAGCACCGGCTCCCCCTCTGAGCAGATGTGGCAGCTACTGTGCCGTGCCCTCCGAGCTCAGCTGGGTCCACCTCCACAGGAGAGCTGCGAGCTTGGACCTCGACACAGGGAGCCCAGGCCTGAGCTCCCAGGGGACTCAACAGCCGCGCTCAGATTTGCAGTAGGGAAACTGGCCTGTGCCAAGGTCCCCAGGGGCAGACGTGGGCAGGCGTCCTCAGCCGTGGCTGCCCAGGGTCCTCACCCCACAGTGCTCTGGGGCTCACACCAGGCTATCAGTACGTCGTCACTTGTGAGACAGACCCACCTCCGTCACACAGGAGAGACCCAGTCCCTGCAGGCAGAAAAGTGCTTTTCTCCGTCGGGACCCCACTCCACACCTCCTTTGCTGCATTTCCCCGGCTGGTAATAGATGTTTTCTCCTGGTGCCAGCTCAGCAGAACAGGGAGGCTTTTGCTTTTCTGCATTTTTGTTGCGTAGGAATGAGCCCTGGGAGGGCTTGGGGTCAGGAACAATCCACACCCAAACCTCCCTGTAAAGTATTCAGGGAACCTGAGCCGGTCCTGACCCCGCAGCCCCCAGCTACGGAGTGTCCAGCCTCTGAGCAGTTTTGCCTGCTTCTGACGACCATGTGGCGTGACAGTGCTGATCCAGTCCCGAGGTGAGGGCCGCGCACTCGCCCTCATTACCCACAATCGGAGGGTGACAAGCGTGCCCCGCAAAAAACTGCCCATGCAGGACCAGGGCTGCTGCCCGAGTGCCACAGCGAGGCCTTCTCCACACCCCCAGGGAGCTGCAGGGCCCTACCAGCTCCACAGCCAGGGAAGGCTGCCTTTCAGCTGTGCCCCTGTGCTGCCTCACCGGCTGTAGTGGCGCCTGCTCAAGACATGGAACTGGAGGCAGAGGACACATGAGAACTCTACTTGGGACAGGGAACCGGGCCGGGCTGGCATCTCCCCTGGGGTCTGAGGAGGGAGAGGCTTCCATACAGTTGACAGAGCCAGCCACCTGCCTCAAGAGAAAGCCGGAGAAGTGTGATAAAGCAGGAGAGGAGTTTGTCCTCAGCATGGCTGCTCGGAGGCTGTCTCCTGACTGGGCGTGGAGGCGCACACCTTAATCCCAGGTGCCAGGGGATTGTGAGTTCACGTTCAACCTGGGCGTTTTAGCAGACCTGTCTCAAATAAGGACTGAGTGTAGTTCAGTGGTAGAGCACTTGCCTAGAATGTGTGAACCTCTGGTTCCACCCCTGGTGCCACAAAGAGAAAACAAAAGAGGCTGTCATCGGAGTGTCAGCACTAGCTTCGAAGAAGCCAAGGCCGTGGAGGTATTGGACAGCCAACAGTCTAAATTGTTACGCTGGACTACTGAGCAGTCTTACAGGTCAAGGAAACTGCTACCCCTGCTAGCGGGGAAGTCGCAGTTTCCATAACAAGGTGCTGTGTAGCAGACTCACGATCCTGGAATATAAGTTAAATGAATAACTCAAAATTGAGAACCGATCACCTGGCATGGGAGCACCTGCCTGTAATCTCAGCACTGGGGAGGCTAAGATGGGAGGATCACCATGAGTTCGAGGCCGGCCTGGGCTACATTGTCTCAAACAAAAAAGAAGAAGGACACTGTTTTGCAGAAAACAGAGTCTCGCTGAAGAGCATCATAGGTGAGGGCTGAGGCCCCAGGAGGTGGGCGGAGGCAGGCAGCAGGGGACAGCAGGCCCCATGTCTCTGGGAAAGCATCCACAACAGGGCAGCAGCAGCAGTTTTCAGTCAGACATCCAGTGGCCCTTCCTAGACCATGCCCAGCAGTGCGGAGCTCTGCCCCCAACTGGCAGGGTGGCAGGGTCTCATCTCACTGGAGGAATAATCTTTTTCATTTAAGTTCTTCCTTTCTATAACACATTTTATTTTTTGAGATGGGGTCTTACTCTGTGGCCCAGGTTGATCCTGAACCTAGAGTTTAAGTAACCCAAGCTTCCTGTCGCTTTTCTTTTCTGAGGTGCTAGGGCTTAGGGCATTGTGCTGAGCCAGCTCGGGCACGGCTGCACCCAGCCCTGTGGAGTAACTTCTACCATAGTTCTTCCCCTTTGTGCTGACTCTTCAGAAACAGCCTGGACGGTGTGCACGCCATCGCGGGCCCAGGCTGGGCTTTGCCAGGCCTTCTCCCAGGCCTCTGCTTGCTCTCGAGTGCTGTCGTGCTCCAAGGTGGGCGTTCTTGCTTTCTGTCTCCATACCTGCAGACAGAACACATTCTGTCCGTGTGTGTCCCGCCTTTTCAGCAGGACCCCGTCTCCTTCGAGCCCTGGATGCCTGGCTCTGCAGGGAGCAAGGAGGAGCAGGCACAGGTCGGACTCAGAAGTCTGGAGGGCCCATTCGTCCCTGGCTGGAGGACTGGCCTGCGGGTGGCCTGGCGCGCACACAGATGGGGACAGCAGGTGGCCGTGCCTGCACGTCTGGGAGGGTGTGTCCACTGTGTGACCTGGCTGGCAGAGGGGAAGGGTCGTGGAGGGGCGCCTATCCTGGTCAGAGCAGGGGCTCTCTTCCTCCCCTGTGAGGACACTGCCATGGGCTGTGTCTGGCTGATGGCCAGGCAGCATCACTTGATCTCTGGCTGCATCTGTCCCCTCCGTGGGATGCAGGCCTCTTTCTCTAGTCGCTCAGTTTTTGCGTTGTCAGTGCTTCACAGAAGTTTGATTTTGGTAAGCTCTTTGGTGTTTTGTGTGTGTGTGTGTTTATCTTGCTTAGGATTCATCAAAACTCTTAGATCTGTGGGTTTATGGTTTTCATCAGGTTTGAAGCACTTGGCTGCGTTCTGGAATAGCTCTTCTGTTTTTGTTTTGTTTTATTTTGTTTTTGAGACAGGGTCTCACACTGTAGTTCAGACCAGCCTTGGACTCACTGTGTAGCTTAGATTGGCCCTGAACTTGCAGCATCCTCTTGCCTCAGCCTCCAGAGTGCTGGGATGACAGGCATGTGCCACCACACTGGGCTTGGAATACCTTTTCTGGCCTCTCTTGTTTTTCTGGGTGCCCTGTTAGCCATCACCCCAGATCACCTCATGTTGTCCCGCAGCCTCTGGAGCTCTGCTCACCATCTTTATTTTTCAGACCTTTCCCTCCCTCGGTTTGATTGTTTTCTTGGGCTCTGTTTACGGTCACTGCTCTTCTGTGCTTTCTGGTCTGCTCTTGGTCCCATTATAACCAGTGCATTTCTGTGGTGCTAAAACGTGTGCAGTTTGCCGTCTTCGCCCATCCTCGGTGCGCAGTTCAGTGGCGGAAGCACATGCACACCGCCGACCTCAGGACCTCCCTGTCTCCCCCAGCTGAGCCTCTGCCCCATCGAACACGAGTGCCGGGACCGCTGCCCCCGAGCCTCTGCCTTGGTTGCCTGGGGACCCGCACTCTGGAGTGTCAGGGTCTGCTTGCCTGCCGGCGCTGCACTGGGGACGGGCCCGCCACCCAGAGGAGGGCAGGAAGGTGGAAGCCGTGGGCCCGAGGCGGGGAGAAGGCACCTTCCATCCCTTCTTTCCTCCCGTGTGTTTCACAGACGCCCCTACCTCAGCGCAGAGAAGTCAGTAAAGATTTTCCGTCTAGGGAGATCCAGCAGCTGCAAGAGCAGAACACGAGCCTGCGGAATGCCGTGGCGCAGATGAGGCGGGAGATGGAAATGCTGAGCGAGCAGATGCCGCCTCCCGCACAGTTGACCAGGAACACCTGGGACGGCGAGCCGCCCAATCCCCATCCTGACCCCAGCTCTGCGGGAGACACAGCCCCTCCCCGTGAGTGCGGGCTGAGCCCTGCCTCGAGCCACGCGCTCCCCAGTATGGCACTGCTCGCTCCCCCGCAGTTTCCCAGTGCGCAGCATCTGTGGCAGTGAGGTGGAGGCGCGGCTCGCTCCCTGGAGGGTGGGTGCTGGGCTGGGCTTCCGGGAGGGCGTCCCACAGGCAGCTGAGGTGTGAGGAACGGAGGAGACAGTGTGACTGGTTCCATGTTTCTGGCAGATTACGTTCTGGCCCTGGAAACAGAAATGCAAGCCCTGAAGCACAAACTGCAAGGCCTGGAAGCGCAGCGGGAGGGCGCACAGGAGCCTCCGAGGACGGGCCATGCCAGCCCCCAGCCGGGTGCCCACTGCTCTGCAGAGGCTGCCGGTGAGGCTGGGCCACCCCAGGACCTGTTTCTGAACGCCGAAATGCGGTCCCCCAAATGGGCTATCCCGGCCCCGGCACCATGACCCGATAGAGCTACTCTTGCTCCCCACGTGAGCTGCGCCCTGGGTCCCCTTTCCCTGTGGCCTTGGTGTGGCCTCTGCTGACTCACACTGCTCAGCTGCGGGGTAGCCAGACTTCCGCCCGCAGCACTGCCACTCCATGTGCCTGGCCGTCCTGTCCCGGTGCTGCTGTGAGACCACCTGCCCTGTGCCCAGCGGGAGTGCCAGGGCCCCTCTGTCCCTCAGGCCCCGCCGGTGCCCGAGTTCAGGTCTGCCGTGCTGGCGTCACAGGCAGTTACCACAGGGACCCCTGCAGACCCTGCCACCCCATGAGGGTCCCCGAGAGCTCTGTCCTGGGTATAGAGTGCACATGGGCAACGGGCAGCAGCACCAGAGGGCAGGTGCCTTTCCCGGGTTCTGTGGTTCCAGGGAGCAGATTCTCTTGGGTTTTCCCAGAGCCCATTGGTGTTTCTGGGGCATGGGCTCCTTTGAAATATGCCAGAAGAAGAGCAGGACAGGACGCCCTCAGCAGGTCTTGCCCTGGCACCCTCGGTCCCTGACTCAGGGCTGTCCTTTCCTCGCCTCTCAGGTTCTCCTGCAGTGGCTGCTTTCGAAGCTGGTGCCAGGTTGCGGTTGGGAGGAACAGGTATGTGCACTTGCTGCCTTGCAGTTCCAGAGGGGACCGTGACGCTGTGTGGACCTTCCCGATCTGCATCTAGCTGTAGTTTGTTGGTGCTTTTTTGAGAATTTCTACCCCTAGCAAAAAAAAAAGAGTTCTGCTTTGAAACTAGCCGAGGCCAGTTTTCCTGATGAGAAACTTTTAAACTACGAATTCAGTTTTGCTCATAGTTAAAGGACGTAAGCTTCATGTGTGTGAGTGTGCGCTTCCCCCTTCTTTTTGGTGTCCTTGGGATTGAACCTAAGGCCTTCATAATAAGCTACACCTCCGCACCCCCTCCTTTTCTCCTGGTACCAGGGATCAAACTCAGAACCCTGCACTTGCAAGGCAGGTGTGGTGCCACTGGGCTAAATCCCCGGCCCAGCTCTTTCTATTTGAGACAAAGTCTCACTATGTAGCCCAATCTTATCTCAAACTTGCAGGCTTTTCCTGCCCCAGCTTCCTTGTGCTAGGATTACAGGCATGTGCCACCACACCTGGCTCCCAGACCCTTTAAAAAAATTTTTTTTCAGACAGGGTCTCACTAAGTTTCTAAGTTACCCAGGCCAAGCTTGAACTTGCGACCTTCCTGCCTCAGCCTACAGATGTATTGAGATTATAGGCCTGCACCTCCACACCCATTTGAGGACATCACTTTGGATGTTGTATTACGCTAACAAATTGTCCATTTCATCTAAATTTTCAAGCTTCTGGCGTAAAGTTGTTTATCCTATTCCAGGAGCTTTCTAAATGTTCACTGGACCTCTTCCTACATGAAGTTGGTCCTTTGCTTCTGTTCTCTTTTATTCTTCCTTGCTTAATCTCACCAGAAATTTATATTTACTTTTAGCCTTTTTAAATATGCAAACTGGTTTTGTTGATCATCTATTATATTTAGTTTTCTTTTCTTTTTTTGGTACTGGGGATCGAACTCAGGTCCTTGTGCTTGCAAGGCAGGGAGTGGAACCATTGAGTTAAATCCCCAGCCCAATTATACTAACTTTCTATTTCCTCAGTATTGAACTTCAGGGCCTGGGGATTTGGCTCAGTGGTCCCGCCACCTGCCTCATAAGCGCAAGGACCCGAGTTCGATCCCCAGTCCCCCCAAAAGTTAAAACTCTAATTTCACTCTCTTTCTTCTCCTTTGGTTATCTTTCTAACTTCTTGAGATGAATGTTCAGCTAATGGGTTTTTGGCCTCTCTGTTTTTCTGAAATGTGGGCCCAAAGCTATAAATGTTCTCAAAAGGGCAGCTTAACACAAGTTCCTTAAGATTAGATAAGATTCTGTTCACAATAGCTTACGATGTCCATTGTCATTTTTCCTCTGACCCGTGTGTGACATGGGCATCTTCTTTCTTACCTCAAACAAATGGCCCCATGTATAAGTGGCGGGACTACATCAGATACTGTGTGGTCAGGTTGGATTTCATCCTGCTGTCTTTGCACAGAATTATATTTCATGTACAGCACTTTTTTCTTTTCTTTTCTTTTTTTATGAGGAGAGGTTGAGACAGGGTCTTGCTATGTAGTTCAGACTGGCCTTGAATTCACTGTGTATCCCAGGCTGACTTCTAACTCACAGTGATCCTCCTGCCTCAGCCTCAGGAATGCTGGGATTATAAATGTGCACCACCACACCTGGCCAGCACGTTTCTGATTGTCCTAGGGAACCAAACCTCTTGAGTCCAGTGAAAGACACCTGCTCCATGGGCCAGGGATTTAGCTCAGTGGTTTCACCACCTTGAATTCACTGTGTATCCCAGGCTGACTTCTAACTCACAGTGATCCTCCTGCCTCAGCCTCAGGAATGCTGGGATTATAAATGTGCACCACCACACCTGGCCAGCACGTTTCTGATTGTCCTAGGGAACCAAACCTCTTGAGTCCAGTGAAAGACACCTGCTCCATGGGCCAGGGATTTAGCTCAGTGGTTTCACCACCTGCCTTGTAAGCACAAGGTCCCTAGCTCAATCCCCAGTACCAGGGAAAAAAAAAAAAAAGACACCTGCTCCTTAAGGACAGCTGGTGGCCTCTGGGCCTCGTAGGTGACACTTCTGGTTTTCAAGATCTGAGCCTGACTGAAGCTGTCTTCTCTGCAGGAGACCCTGTCTATGCTGGCCAAGTGTCCCCTCTGGTCCTCAGGAAGCTTGGAGACAGAGTGCATCTCTTGACCTTGCTGGTGACAAAGCTCAAAAAGAAGGTGAGAATGGCCTAGTGACACTCAAGGTTTCCAGGTCTTCTAGGAATAGCCATATGAGCAGGCTCAGGGCTGTGCCACATGTGACCCCGCTGCCTTAGTTACTTTCCTCATGGCTGAAACAAAATACCTGACACCCACCAGATAAAGGAGAAAAGGTCTATTTCACACTCACAGTTTGTAGAGGCTTCAGTCCATAGTCAGCTGACTCCAAGGCAGAGAGGCACATGACAGGGACTGCAGAGGAGAAACAGTCCATGGTGGGGCAGACGGCACCCTGTCTCTTTTATCCCATCCAAACTATAAGCCTTTGGGTGGTGCTACCCGCAACCAGGGTGAGGGTTCCATTATCCACACTCAGATCTGTGCTAAACCAATTTAATTATCACACATCCTTAATCGCAGCATCACACACCCATGAGCCAGCCCCCTCCCAGAAGCCCCACCTGTGAGCAAATGCGGCCTTGGGGGAACTGTAGGTACAAGCCATCACAGGTGCCCACCTGAGTAAAAGGCAGCTGGATCATCTTGCATGTGACTGTAACAGGTGCATTGGGAGAGTCTGGTAAACAAAGAGGTCTCAACAGAAGATAGTGACAAGGCTGAACATGCAGGGCCCCTGAGAGATGAAGTCTTTCTGTTTCTGGTGCTAACTTTGCAGGTGTTTTAAGGTTTGTCTGTGTGGTAGCACAGTCACTGTGGAGTGGAGCCGCACTCCGTGCAGCTGCTCGTCTGTGGGTGGACACTTGGCCGCACCCGCCCCTGGCTGTTGTGAGTGTGCCGCCAGGAGTATGAGGCAGATGCCCGGAGGTGGCACAGCCGAGTCGCATGGAAAGTCTCTGTGTAACTCTTTTCCAAATCTGGGCGTCAGTTCGCACGCCCATCAGCAGTGCGTGGAGGCTCCGGTTTCTTCACATCCTTCGGACCTCAGCTATTTCTGGCTTTTTGATCCTGCTCCCTGGAGGGTGGCAAGTGGCACCTCCCTGTGGTCCAGCCTCTTCTTGGTGACATAATGATGCTGAGCACTTCCTGTGGCTGCTTGGCCATTTGTGCAGCTTTTGAGAAATGTCAACCTCAATCTTTAGCCTTTTTTTTTTTTCCTGAGATGGAGTTGCTATGGACTTCAGGCTGGCCTCAACCCATTACGTAGCTCAGACTGGCCTCAAACTCCTGATTATCCCTCTGCTCCACCTCCCAAGTGCTGCATCACAGGTGTGCCCCCCACCTTTAACGGGGTTCTTTATCATTTCTGTTGGGTGTAAAAGTTATTTTTATATTCTGTGTACAGGTCCCTTATCAGATGGAGATTTGCTAAATCCCTTCCCAGTCACACTTGTCTCTTTACTCCCTCAGTGGTGTCCTTCATGGCACACTTTGAATCTTGACCGGGTCCAATTTCCTACTTTCTTGTTGCTCATGCCTTGGGGTCACTTGGTCCTGTCACCTTTTGGTTACATATTTCTTACAAGGTGACCTGAAGAGGAATTGTCATAAGTCCTTTTAGGTCCGCAAACACATAACAGACTGTCTCCTCCTATACAGGAGACCCAGAGACTCTGGACTTCCCACCTGCCACAGAGTGACCATGCTCCAGAGCTGGACCCTCTGTCTTTTTTAAATCTTCCAGGAGATTTTTTGTTTGTTTGTATTTATTAAATTGTAAGTAAATGTTGTATATATTTATTTTGTATATTATGATTTTTTTTTCTTTTTTGGTACCATAGATTAAACGTACTGAGCTACATCTCCAGCCTTTTTTTTTTTTTTTTTTTT